AAGCCCCCACACCTAGATCAGCCAAAGGCGTCCGGGAAGGACAAGGAGGCGAAAAAGCAGAAAGAGAAGCTACTTGAAAAAGAGGCCGTGTTGAAACAGTTAAAAAAGATACAAGAAGACATCTCCATCTGGGGACTGCTTATGGCTTCACATGCGCATAGACAGGCTGTCCTATCGGCAATGGACAAGGCCAAACTCTCGATAGACACCACGCCTGAACAATTGGTGGGCTTGGTTTTTCCGGGAGGAGGTTCCCCGGCGTTGACTTTTTCTGACAAGGAACTACCGCCTGAGGCCTCAGATCACAACAAACCTCTCTACATCTCTGTGGAGTGTAGAAACAAATGGATACCGGTGGTTCTTGTCGATACTAGATCTGCCATCAACGTGTGCCCGGCAAAGACAGCGTATGCAATCGAGTTGAAGCCCGCAGACTTTGTGCCGACAGCTCAGGTGATAAGGGCATATGATAACACAAGCAGAGAAGTAATGGGGACAGTGAAAATTCAGACCCAAGTCGGTCTAGGATAACATGAGATTGACTTTCACATCTTGGAAGTTCCTACAACCTTCAATTTACTTTTGGGGTGGCCATGGCTGCACCAGGTGAAGGCAGTTTCGTCCACCTTGCACCAGATGTTGCAATACCTCCACAGGAAGGGGGTGGCCATTATTTTTCGAAATTCATCGATTCATCCACCGCCAAAAGTATCTACGCTGATTTTGGAAATCAAACATGGTATGGAGGATGTGTTCTTATCGGGTTTTACCTTAGCCGAGGCTTGGGTTATACAGAACACCTTGGCTATTGATAAAGGGTTGTATGTTAGCGCTCAATCAGTGTACCTCATGAACAAGCTCCAATACATCCCCGGGATGGGATTAGGGAAGAGTAGCTGGAAGGGCATTGCAGTATCGGCTGAAGTGCCGCACAACCCACATACCTTTGGCTTGGGTTATCTGCCCACGAAAGAGGATTGGGTGAGGAAAGATAAGGAGATGGTTGGGAGAGCCAGAGCGAAGCAGGCGGGGAAGCCTTTTGAGTTGATGCACCGACCCATCCAGGGTACCCTAAACGGACGCTTCATCTTGGAGTGGAGGACTTTCCATTTTGTGGCTTCCCAGAGCCATGGCTGAATGCCGAGAGGAGGCGCCTGCCGGGGTTTGAGATCTTCTTTGACCTGCAGTTAACCGGGGATGATGTTGCCGAAGAGTAGACAGACCCATCACCTGAGGTTGAGCAGTGCAAGAAAGTGGATTCTGAGAACGCCGAAATTGAAATGGGGGTAGCGCTGGCTTGTCTACTTTCAGATCGTACAGAAGTGCTTGGGGGATAACTTTTCGGTGTCCATGATTGGGAATGAAATGGCTACGAGCCCACTGTCAAGCATTTTGGATGCATCCATCGCTCCCTCTCTCATCTGGCAGTACGAGGAGGGATTTTTGTCAAGCAGCACCGGGTCAGGTAGTGAGCCGGAATCTGATTCCACCGAGTCTGTAGAGTTGGAATCAGGTTCCAGCTCGTCTGAGTCTGAGTCTGGTAATCCTAGGGGTGATAACCCGGATACCACAGTCCTGTCTACGTCGTCTTGTTCTTTCTCTTTTGAGTCTCTTGTAACAGAGGAATCGGACGATTTGGATGTGCTTAATGAGAATAGAATGGCTGTGGTTTCTGAGTACTTTTCTGTGCCTTTGATTTATTGCATCAATCACGACTATCAAAATTTTGATGAAAATGACGAGGAAGAAATTCCTCCAGTTTTACAACATCTAATTCATCAAGAGCAGGAGAGATTTGTTAAACCCTTGGTTGATGAAATCACTACAGTTAATGTGGGCACCGAGGAGGACTCGCAGCTGGTCCAGATCGGGTCCACGTTGTCTTCGGAGGAGCGCGAGCGCTTAGTCGCTTTATTAAAAGATTTCAAAGATGTTTTCGCGTGGTCCTACGAAGACATGCCTGGAATCAATCCTGAGATTGTACAGTACTGGATCCCTTTTGACCTCGAGGCCCGATCCGTTAAACAGAAACTCAGAAGGATCCGCCCGGACTGGGCCCTCAAGATTAAAGAAGAGGTCACCAAGCAAATTGACACAGGGTTCCTGCTAGTGTCTGAGTACCCAACTTGGTTGGCTAACATAGTTTCGGTGCCGAAGAAGGATGGCAAGATTCGGGTATGCGTGGATTTCAGGGATTTGAATAGAGCCAGTCCGAAGGACGACTTTTCTTTGCCGCATATCGATGAGTTGGTAGACTTCACAGCGGGGCATGCTTTGCTTTCGTTCATGGATGGATTCTTAGGCTACAACTAGATTGTGATGGCACTCGAAGGCCGGGAGAAGACTGATTTCACCACCCCGTGGGGGACTTACTGCTACAGAGTGATGCCATTTGGGTTGAAGAATGCTGGAGCTACATATCAACGGGCCGCGACCACGATATTGCACGACATGATCCACAAAGAGGTTGAGGTGTACGTGGACAACATGATTGTCAAGTCCAAAGAGAGAAAGCGCCACTACATCGCCTTGCAAAAGTTCTTCCAAAGGATCAGAGAATTTCGGTTGCAGCTGAATCCTCAGAAGTGTACGTTCGGTGTTACAGCAGGGAAAATGCTAGGGTTCTTGATTACACAGAGAGGTATCGAAGTCGACCCTTCCAAAATCAAGGCTATCTTAGAAATGCCACCAACAAGGACTGAAAAGGAGATGAGAGGCTTTCTGGGTAAAGTGCAATTCATAAGACGATTTATGTAACGCCCTCAAAATTTAACCCATTACATATTATTGACATGCATTATTTAAAGAAGACAATTTATTAATTCACTCATCAGAGCATTACTAAATAAAGCATTACATGTAACATTGAATAAAATGCCTCACAGGCTTACATCTTTCCAAGCCAACACTTGGATACAAAAACAATATGAGTTCTAACTCAAAACAAGAAAAGCCCTAGGCTTGAATGTTTACATGTACTAATAATTAAAGACAATTAACTAAAGGTAGTCTTCTTCAATCCAAAAGCCAAACCCTCCCAAGCTAAGTCCTTGGAGGTAGTTTATCACCTGAACCTGAAAATGATGTTCCCATAAAGGGTGAGCCACAGCCCAGTAGAAATATACTAAACCACATATAAGCAATGAATAAAGCAATAGCATTCAACAGATGGTTAACCAAGATAAACAATTACTTCAGTTTATAGTCTCATGACACTATTGTCTAAGACACGTTTTACCTTCCAATTTTATCAACATGGCTCAGAACCTGGCCAAACTTACAACAGTGAATTACATATATCATATTCACATCCTTCCAATATCAACAAACAAATGAGACTCAAGCTCAAATCAAAACACTTCGGCGTTTTTGGCAGCCACGTTTTTGGACATTTTGTCTAAAAACGTGGCTTTTTACCATGTTCCCAAAATGACACTCAATCATTTTATTTGCTTGTGTCTATCTATATATTGTTTAATAATAATAATAATAATAATAATAATAATAATAATAACAACAACAACAAGTGTGGTCATTATCTATTTAGTTTGATTAATATATATATATATATATATTTATGTTTTTATTTATTCTCTTACTTTTGTCATTGTTTATCTTATATATAATAGTTAGTGATTGATTTTTTGTATAATATAAAGTCATTAATTATTAAAATAAAATGTAAAAAACTCAGTTTATAGTGATTTAAAAATATGAAATATATTGGATCAAACTTAAAAATTTATAAAAATTGATCAATATTTATTTTAAAACCCAATAAATACGATCATGGAAAAAAATATGCGTATCGGTAAGTTTTTTTCAAATTGTGCGAAAAATAGAAAAATTCGCGGTTCCGGTTACCGCAACCGTTACGCTACGGCCTTTACACCCCGCAACCGCAACCGCAACCGCAACCGCAAACGCAACCGCGCCACCACCACCGTTACGGCGACCGCAACCGCTTTTCAGAACCTTGCCTATATGTTAAAATCCACCTACTCTCCACCTACTTCACCCACTTAAACCTACTCCACTAAACCTAACCCACTACACCACTACCACCTCACCTACTCCACTAAACCTAACCCACTACACCACTACCACCTCACCTACTCCACTAAACCTAACCCACTACACCACTACCACCTCACCTACTCCACTAAACCTAACCCACTACACCACTACCACCTCACCTACTCCACTAAACCTAACCCACTACACCACTACCACCTCACCTACTCCACTAAACCTAACCCACTACACCACTAAACCAAATAAATACGATCATGGAAAAAAAATATGCGTATCGGTAAGTTTTTTTCAAATTGTGCGAAAAATAGAAAAATTCACGGTTCCGGTTACCGCAACCGTTACGCTACGGCCTTTACACCCCGCAACCGCAACCGCAACCGCAAACGCAACCGCGCCACCACCACCGTTACAGCGACCGCAACCGCTTTTCAGAACCTTGCCTATACCATCTTATGAGGAGAAAATGCATGCATCTACAGGCTTCCCAGAAACCTTATTAAGGCCTCGTTTGGGGAGTGGCTAGTTTAGCCAAAAAGTCAAAAAGCCAACTAAAACTAGTCACATCACCTCTCTACTTTTCTGCACATCTTTTCATAAAAAGTCAAAAAGTTACTAAAATAGCCTGTTCCCAAACGAGGCCTAAGTGCATAACAATAGTAACAAAGAAATTCATGAGAACCTATGATGTGACATCAAAGCATATCATGTTTACAAATAGTTGTTTCATGTGTATCTTATAAATTGAAGATACAAAAGGAATATCAAATAACAAGAATATGAGATACATAAGCAATGTGAAACAATAAAATAGAGGAACTGGGATTAAGTTTAGAGTGCCCCAAACTGACCCCGTCAGCCCCTTGCCTGGAAAAATTCAAACCCAAACAACATTTGACAACCTAAACTAGATCTGCACAAAAAGCATCAATAATAACCCCAGCTATTTTTCTATGAAGAAAATAATGCAAATTATTTTTTTTTTAACAAAAAACAGAAAATCCCCAACTAGAAAATATTTCTACCTGACGAAGTTGATCTTCTTTTATGTTGAAATGCAGATTGCCAACATAAAGCCTTCTAGCTCCCCCTGAATAGGGGCCTATAAGCCCACCTGCTACACCTGCTGCAGATGTAGTAGACTGAACCAGATTCTTTTCAGCTTCTGATGGTTTAACCATCACTGGCTGACCAACAAGTAGCTGACCAGAGAGTGCTATTGCCATGGGGACTGACATTGAATCAAAAAATTCAATATACCTGCAAAGAAGCTGCATTAGTCTGGATTGTACCAATAAGGGTAAAAAGATAAAAATTGGAGAAAGTGAAGATAAACCATAATCTAGCAAATTTACTGCCCAGTCCACACATAATTTTTTCTTTTTTTCATGTTTTTTCCTCTTTTTTTATTGACTATAATATAACTATGACCTTGAATTCACTAACTTGCATGGGATACAAGAAGCAATAAGCAGAATGGCCCACTGTCACTTCAAAGCATACTGGTATTATAGCTTCATGAAGCCAAAGGCAACAATCAAATCTAGTTGGCATTGCTGAAATATCAATAAACATATGGGAACAACCTCCACTTTCAAAAGAGAAATATTATTGAGGATATTGAAGTAAATAAATCCCATCCTTTGTAAACACTCCAGAATTCAAAATCACAAGCATACAAAAATAATAATAATAATAATAACAACAACAACAAACAAACAATGCCCAATTAATACCCATTAATGAGTGTTTGTGAGGGGTTAGATTGGGTACATACCTAACCCTTGTCATAAAATAAAATAATAAAATGGGCCTTCAAGTCAGGTGATGGGTGGAGGGTGATAACAATGATAAGGGTCATTATCTATCTTGCAAAGCTTTGGGCTTGGCCTAGCGGCAACTTTTTTCAAGCCAAATCCCATGATTAGTTTTTGGCTTAGCATATAGACCCCATGTGATTAATGTAGGTTTTGATTTTCCCTCTTTAATGAAACAGCTTTAGTTTGAAAAAGAGGTGTAGAGGTCTAATCTTGGAATGAATTTGCAAGATGACAATCCTCCACTTGATGATTAAAATTACAAATAGTAGAGTAGAAGAAAATTCAATCAAGCTAATTCTTAGGTAGATACACGGCAGGAAGAACGCAATTTACCCAACTCCCCTGGAACGTCTTGAATTGCGGTCCATTATAAGGCGTACATCTCGCACCTGGAATGGCAATTCAAATTTCAAAGGTATTAGAAAAACTAGAGACAAAACAATCAAATTCTCCTTCAAAGGTACATACCATCATTCTGTTACTGCACCTCAAGAGGCAGAACATGCTATATAAAATGAACATGGAACTATTTACAAACAATAATAACTCTGATAGCAGACTTCATCTCAAACAACAGGCCATATGACTTATATACGACTAAGAAAGAGCAAGCAATAACCTTGCCAGCCCGTGAGAAGAAATCATACACATCTCTTTCATCTGCCTTCAAAGATATCTGACAGAATTGTAGAGAAAATATATGTCAGCAAAGTGCAAGTAACAAACCAAACAAAACACCACAAAAGCCATTCTGTAGCATTTCAATTACCATTTACCTGATAAGCAAAAACAGTTCGCTGATCCCGTTCAGGATCAACCTCTGGCTCTGCCACTTCTTCCTTTTTCTCTTTATATCGCCTGAAAGAGAATAAAATTTTCAAATATTATCGTTACTTGGTCAATTTATAAGTAACAACAATTCCGCTGTAGTTAATGAAGGGTGAGTCAAACGAGTGAACACATAACTATGGAAAATGCGCTTGCTACTAGGAAAAATGTAAGCAATAATGTGAAGAGAAAGCAAGAAAAGAACAATCCCAAAAGGGCAGCAAATTTTCTCCAGTATGTGGCTGAACCCATCTAACACACCCTGCAGTGACGTGCACCAAATTAAAATGATGGGACCAATGTAACGGTTGCAAAATTGCAAAAAAAAAAAAAAATTTATTTTTAAAATTTAATGAGAACCAACCTGGGAATGAAGTAGCAACTAAAAGAAATAGGGACAGTAGGACCAAGTAGTGAACTATGTAATCCAACATCAAGCAATGAATTAATAACAGATTTTGTCCCCTTCTACAAACAACCTAATCTTCATCAGAAACAATATCATGGGGTCAAACAAAAGGCAGTGTTGGAGGATGTTATTATTTGAAAGAACATGTACATCAGTGTGGAACCTGCTAAAAGTTTATATTCTATAAAAAGAGTTACATTCTCAGCAAGCGATAAAAAGGCTTAAAATTGTACATATATAAATAAAACTAAAATGACAAACATCCACTGACATGATTGACGATCACAAAATGCAATAAGATACTTAGCACAAGCTAGAATTGGTGTTGAGTAGCAAAAAAATTGTGATAAAGATTTAAGGATCGCAAAAGGACTGCAGTAATTAAAAAAAAAAATCATCTAAAGAAACTATCACAAATGCAACCACTAAAAATTCAGACAGATGTATAAAAATTGACTTTGTAATGTATGATTTAATATTAAATCAAGAAATTAACAAAAGAAACAACATTTTCCAAAGTAATTGATGATCAAAACAAATTCATTCAACTTTAGAACTCTAGGGTCATATAGCAATTAGAGTATGAGATGTAGATAAATAGTTAGAAATCAAAGACGTTTTGTTTAAAAGTCAGACATCAGGCAAACTATACAAATTTCTTCTCAGAGATACCTATTGAAGGAAGAAGGTTACACCAGGCAAACAAAGATTTCTATGGAGAACGAAAATGCCATGAATTCTGGGCTGTGAAAGAAGAAGAAAAAAAGCCCAAAAAGATTCTTGAAAAGATTTGTACTTAATTGCAGCACAACTCAAAAGATTTGCGCTGCAGAATAAAAAAGAACCATCGAAGTGGTGCAACTTGAACAGTGCAACAAGACCTTCCTTGCAGGCAACTATTTGTATCAAAGAAACCTGTAACTTCATGACATGCAATCAGAGAACATATTTATGATATTTTTACATATCCTGCAAAAGAATTATGGCCAATCTGGCAACTGAACAATGATTTTCCACAAGCATCGGAAGATGAAGTGCTTCTGTTAAGCAAAGCCCATCACTCCCTCACCAGCATTTCTGCAACAGAATAAGTATAATTAAGAAACTAAGTTCAGAGGTGGAGGATAACGAAAATTATAAAATGATATCACCACTTGAGTTAAGATCTCCAAGATAGAAACCCCCAATCTTGCAATGTAAGCTTCTAACGATTCCACAGTGTCTAGAAAGAACATTTAAACCCATGATCAGAGTTTCTGAGTCTGGCTCAGTTACCAGAATGACCATTCGAAGATTGCTCTAGCATATCTGCTAGTCTCCAAAAAATCTAACGTTCAATATCCAGAATTTTAAAACTTAAATAGTACGAGTTACTATGTAGAGCTTGAAAACTACCAGTGAGAAAATCACTTGGAAAATAGTGCAAAAACCTGTTAAACAAGCTATGAGAATTAGAAGAATCGGACCTTAGACATATATACCCGACATATATACCCGAGTGCATGTAACATAGTTTTCAAATTGTGTTTTCAACCTGAATTTTAGCAATAAAATACATTTCACATTAAGATACTCTCCTATGAGGACATATTTTGGTGTTACTTGGGACGCTAACCTGGCTGCATTATGCTATGAAGGAGGTTATTCACACGCTCCCGACAAATTAAAATATGGCGTGGACATGAAAAAAATAAGGTGGTGTGCCATTCGGCAAGTAATTTTGCTCACAATTCTCTGTAATAGAGTTTCATCACAAATATTATTTTTTAGTAAGTGGGTTTTTATGCGGTAATTTGCTTTACCCTTTCTAGAGAATTGCTCTGGCATATTTGGCAGTGGCATTAATAGAAATCTTAACCAAAACACCTGGAAAAGAAGTGAACCTAAAAAAAAAAAAAAAACTTCGGCATGAGGCAAGGTGAATATCATCTTCCTAAACCAAATGTCCTTCCATGTAGAAATGGAAGATCCGTGTCAATCAAACTAAACAAAGCAATTTAGGTCAAATGGACTCTAAGTGAGAAATTTTTTAACATCTATTAAGCAATTCACCAAAGGAAAAATGCAAGTAATTTGTCCAGAGAAGTCAAAGCAGACAAAGAGAAGTGAAGTTTTACTTCATAAAATACTAGTCAAAAACAAAAACCAAAAAAGTTTACTCCACAGAATCATACATGTACTGTCAAATCCATCTACAATTCTAAAGACGGCTCTGTTTGGGTTCATTTTCCAAATTTTTTGCCTGAATTTTTTTTTTAAAATCAAAACTAGTTTGACAAAAATAAACAGCAAAAAAATATTTTAAATTTTTAAAAATTATTTCAGCCCCAAAAAAGATAAAACCATATAAAAGTATTAGTTCAAAAAATCGATTTTAAAAACCAAACCAAACATAGCCGTACACTTGCAAAAATTATTCTAGAAGTCTTGTTAGGGGCCACACTTACCAAAAGTCCAAAACAATTATTGGAAACAAAAATAGATTTTCAATTAAAAAGCTCAACTGATAAATATCCAATGATTACTTCCACATAGGAAAGTAAAAGAGAGGATAAGGCTACTAAACCTGAAAACCAGTTAAACTTCAATTAACTTATATTTTAGCAATGGGCATGGAAAAAAATTCGATGGGTGGTGGTAGTGGCAAATGCAGCACAACTATGTTGCTAGAGAAAAACTTATATGGAAGCCCCATGCCTTTAGATGTTCAAGTATAACTACAATTAAGTGTCTGGGAGTTGGAACAATAATCTATCAATGCATAAGAAAGTTGTTCCTTGAGTTATTGGTGCAAACTACTCCTGTTATTCTTGCTCCCTTATTATGCTACTTATTAACAAAATGCCACAGACAACATACCACGACATGGATATCCCATATTGGTGAGACATTCAGACAACATTCCTTGACATGGATATCCCATATCTATGAGATACTCATGCAAGTAGGAACCAATTATATAGACCGCTAGATTAGTAGCAAACGTAAAGCTATAGTGAATGAGATATGTATATGTTGTAAGATGATATACTCCCTAAGTAACCATACTGTTCCCAATAAAGAAGGACAATGGTAGTAGAAGACCAAGGAGGGTCCAGGGATGTTTTGGAATATGCCTGCATGGACCTTGTATATGTATTCATGCATAAATATCTTAGATATATTTAGTTACAAACTTACAATGTATGTAAGGTTATTAACAATATGCTTTCATCTGCCAATATAGAATCATTAATTTGTGTAGTACATGTATTTGAGTTTCATACGTGGCAAGCCACGTCATCGCTAGGTAGTGGCCTCAAACCGCTCCTTTACATGATAAGGCATGATTTTAATCTTGGCTTAGTGCTTTGCTCAACCAATTTCGCACACCTAGCTCCACTCGAATCACTCAACTCCACTCGCTAGCCTACCTCATTGCCTCGCCTACCATTGCAAGCTATGATTAGAAGGGCGCCATGTTGCCAAGCCAATCTAGGTCAAGAGTAGGGCCTATGAACCCCCTCAGGTTGGTGTCTCAATCATGGGATGCTCGAGGAATCTATGACCCTGTGCAGGATCACCAGGTCCTTGTGAAATGGGGGCTAAAGTTGGGGATCACTTTAATATTATCCCCAATTGTTTGACATCCCATCCCAAACCTTAATAATATTATATGCTTTGGGCTAGGGCCTCACAACTTTAAAACATGTTACTTTTGGGAGAGGAGGGCAAGCTTACCCCAATGACCCACCTCCTATAAATGGAAGCCTCCACTTACAGCAAGCTCATAGGCTTCTCTCTCTTAGTCATTCTCCCTCTCTACTCTAAGGCTACCTCAATGCTCTTCCCATCCATCTCCGGCGGTCCTGTGCCATCTAAGTGCCTACCTCTATTATCAGAATCTTATGATTCGCAATTCATTCATAAATCAATATAAATCTATGGGTGAATTTATTATGGGATAGAATCTATGGTAAATCACACGATTCACAATTCGATTCACTTTTCATGATTCATACAACTCTTGAAACTATTGTGTCTGACTAATCCAACCCTTTTTTCTATTTTTTTACTGAAAATGACATAATACAACTTTGAAGAGTGTTCAGTACGAAAATAACCAATAGCTATGTATGATTTATTATTATTTTGATGATTATAAGGTCTTAATAGGATCCAATCAGATCCAGTCAGACTTGACATATTCTTAACTTTTTTCCTTATTTTTTTCCTCAAAAAAGTATTATATATATATATATATATATATTACAATGTTTAAGGTTAAAGAAACTTGCACCATGAATTGTCTTTTGTTGTTTTAATGAAATAAATATAATTCAATATTACATGGACCATGGTTCTATAACATTTTTTTTTCTCATTTTTTAAACAATAAACATACACACTCTTTGAAATGTTCTAAGTTATAAATTAAAGGATTCTACTTAATTCTATCCTAAATATTATATTCTATGAAGGGTTTCTAAGCCTATTTTTTTAATGTCAAGACTCGAGAGATCATATTATATGATTTTTGAATAATTTTACAGTTGGTGGGATTTGGATACACATCTCTTGCTACGAAGGCAACATTCTCCAAATTAGACAATGTAATTACGTCCTTATTTAAGAATTATTTTATAACACAAATCAAAGTCAATTTATTTCATATATATGATTATTTAAAATCATTTTATGCTAAATCTTAAAGATTCTCAATTTGATTCATGATTTACAATATTAGGCTTTTGATTAGCGATATATTCTCAATTTGACAACTGTCGGGCCTACCATAATTCCAGGAGGTCGTATGAACAAATTACATAAGATATTCCATACAATAGAAAACTTTTGCCCAATTTGCTTCTAATATAGTTATTCTAGGGCTACTGTAAACTAATTATGAAACTCAAAAATAAGCTTGTAAGCAACAACTAACTCATGTCGTAATTTGTGACATAACAAACATAAAATTATGGAATGAGTGCCTCATTCAACTAATAATTAACCAGAGAATTTTATCCAGAATAAAATCTATATGAAAGACACGAAATTTTATACTAGTTTCACACGTACAGCATGCAATATAAGTCAATAGTTCAGTTTGAAGTTTGCAAAATTACCTGTTTTCTCGATCCCGTTCTCTAAATTCCTTCTCCCTTTCCCTTTCTTTGAACTCCCCGTCCCAACTCTTCTCTCTAACTTGCTCATCCCGATGCATTTCTGGACGGCTTATACTTCTACGTGACCGCTCTTGCTCTTTATCCTTCTCCCTTTCATTGTCAGGTTTATGCTCTCTCTTATCCCTATCACAGTCCCTCTCTTTGTCTCTATCTATGTCTCGATCCTGGTCCTTTCCTTTGTCTTTGTCTCTAGCTCTATCCCGCTCTCGGTCTTTGTCCTTTCCATTCCTCTCTTCCCGGTCTCGCTCTCGGGTTCTGTCCTTTCCATTCCTCTCTTCCCGATCCCTCTCTCGGGTTCTATCCTTTACATTCCTCTCTTCCCGATCCCGCTCTCGGTCTTTGTCCTTTCCATTCCTCTCTTCCCGGTCTCGCTCTCGGGTTCTGTCCTTTCCATTCCTCTCTTCCCGGTCTCGCTCTCGGGTTCTGTCCTTTCCATTCCTCTCTTCCCGGTCTCGCTCTCGGGTTCTGTCCTTTCCATTCCTCTCTTCCCGGTCTCGCTCTCGGGTTCTGTCCTTTCCATTCCTCTCTTCCCGGTCTCGCTCTCGGGTTCTGTCCTTTCCATTCCTCTCTTCCCGATCCCTCTCTCGGGTTCTATCCTTTACATTCCTCTCTTCCCGATCCCGCTCTCGGTCTTTGTCCTTTCCATTCCTCTCTTCCCGGTCTCGCTCTCGGGTTCTGTCCTTTCCATTCCTCTCTTCCCGGTCTCGCTAATTAACCTTGACTTGTGAACCACTTTTTGGTCTCCTAAAGAAAGGAAAGAAGTTCCAATGGGACGGCCGATGCCAAGCTGCTTTTGAAAAAATCAAACAATACTTACAGAACCCACCCGTGTTGTCACCGCTTGAGCCGGGAAAATTGTTGATTTTGTACCTTTCAGTGACTGAAACTACGATGGGCTGCTTGCTTGCACAGGAATCAGAGGATAAAGTGGAGAAAGCTATCTACTATCTGAGCAAGAAGATGCTGGATTACGAAACCCGTTACACTCCGCTGGAAAAGGCTTGCCTAGCCTTGGTATGGGCTACCAGGAAGCTGCGACACTACCAGTTAGCTCACTCTGTAATGTTGGTTTCAAGATTAGATCCCATTAAATATCTCTTCGAGAAACCAGCACTTACGGGTAGGCTAGCTCGTTGGTTGCTTCTACTTTTCGAATTCGATTTGAAGTATATGACTCGCAAGTCAGTAAAGAGGAGAGCGGTAGCGGAGTTCCTAGCCAATCACCTAGTTGAGGGGAATGAAGCAGTTGAGTACTTATTCCCAGATGAGGCTATTCTGCATATCAAAGATGAGTTTTGGACGATGTATTTTGACGGAGCATCAAACCAGTACGGGTATGGGATAGGGGTGTTGCTGATAGCACCTGACAATTCCTATGTCCCTCTAGCATTTAAACTCCGATTCAAAGTCTCGAGCAACGAAGAAGAGTATGAAGCATGCATTGCTGGTTTAGAAGCTGCCCTAGAACTAGGGGCAAAACGATTAGACGTCATCGGGGACTCGAACCTTGTTGTATCTCAAGCTAAAGGAGATTGGAAAGTCAAAGAAGAAAATATGAGAATTTACCACCAGACCTTAGACTTGCTGATTCCTCGGTTTAAGAAATTGAACTTCGCTTATCTGTTAAGAGAAAACAACAGGTTCGTGGATTCATTAGTAACTCTATCGTCTATGATAGACATCCCTTTTGGAGTCCAAATGCGTCCGATCATCATTGACCAGAAGTTTGCACCAGCCTACGAGTCGATTGCTGCCATAGAAGAGGTTCAAGATGAGAACCCCTGGTATTACGATGTCTGGAACTTCTTTGAGAAAGAAACGTATCCACCAGGGGCAAATGCCAAAGACAAGAGGGCAATTCGAATACTTGCTCAATTCATTATCTGCGGAGGAAAATTGTATAAGAGAGGTCATCAGGGAATGCATAAACTGTGTGTTGATGCCGAAGAATCGAAGAGCTTGATGGAGGCCATCCATGGAGGAGAGTGCGGAGCGCACATGAACGGGGTGATGCTAGCCCGGAAAATCCTTAGACAAGGTTACTATTGGTCCACCATGAAGAAGGATTGTATCGGCTTCGTTCGGCGACGCCACAAATGTCAAATCCATGCAAACCGCATGAACATCCCCCCGTCGAAGCTGTACAATATGACTTCGCCATGGCCATTTCAGTTTGGGAAATCGATGTGATCGGGGCTGTCAGTCCGAAGGGGTCCAATGGGCATGAGTTCATTCTGGTCGCGATAGACTATTTCACAAAGTGGGTTGAGGCCCAATCTTATGCGGTGTTGAAGGCGTCGCACGTTGCAAAGTTTATCAGGAACAACATCATCTATCGCTTTGGGGTCCCGAACGAGATTATCTCAGATAATGGTTCCCACTTCAAGAAGGAAGTGATTGACTTGTTGGAGAAATACAACGTGGCTTTTCATAAGTCATCCACATATCGGCCGCAGACCAATGGAGCAGTCGAGGCCGCCAACAAGAACATCAAGCACATTTTGCAGAAGATGGAGGAAACCTACCGGGATTGGCCAGATAAGCTGCCATTTGCTCTATGGGGCTACCGGACTTCAATTAGAACTTCTACTGGAACGACTCCCTATTCATTGGTTTATGGGATGAAGGCCGTTCTACCTATTGAAATTGAGGTTCCATCATTGAGAGTGCTGGCTGAGTGTCAGATAGCTGAAGCAGATTGGCAGCAGAACAGATTTGAAGAACTCATGCTCTTTGATGAAAGAAGACTGAAGGCACTGTACCATGTTCAAGGTTATCAGCGTAGAATTGCCAGGGCTTTCAACAAGAAGGTTAAGTCCCGGAATTTGAAAGAAGGAGATTTGGTGCTCAAAGACAACCGAGCTCCCATCCATGACCCTAGGGGCAAGTTCAGACGCAATTGGACTGGTCCCTACATCATCAAGTCTATCTGGTTAGATGGAGCTGTCGTTCTGATGGACCTAGATGGCCTAGAGTTCTCACAGCCGATCAACATGGACAAGGTGAAGAAATATTACCCCTGATCCGAAAGGGCAACCTAGGCAAAAGTTAGAGCACAGAAAATTTGAAATTATAAAAATTAAGCTCGCAAGGTTGAAAACCCGCAAAGGGCGGCCTTAGCAACATTTAGAGCGTAAAAGGTGAAGGTTAATACACGAGTGAACCTGAGCCGAACTACTAAGGCTTGATTCCCATTTTTGGGATACGTAGGCAACTTCATCCTGAAGTCCAGCCATAAACTTTTCCCCGATCAACTTTGTCCATTTGATCATCTCAGTCATCTTTGTCTATTCAGCATTCAAGAGCTTCGGTTGTCATCTCCGGTGCAGTGCTATTCAGACTAGGGGCAACTTTTCAGTTGCTGGAATTCGGGGTTGTGCATCTCAGTGACAGATCTCAGGCGTGTGCAGTTCTGATCCATATCGAAAATGGTTTTGAAAAATTTTAATAAAAGTTGATTTTGCTCAAATTAATCTTTTTACGACTTAGACCATTTTTGGACCAAAGCGGAAAATTTTCAGTACCCACAACCTTCAATTTTATTGATTTCAATATAGAGTTCTCCTACTCTTGCATACAAATTGAAGTTGCTTTTCATTACATTCATAAAGAAAACTTGAAAGTTTTGATTAAAAGCAAATAAATCCGGGGCATAGTCAGGTGTTCTAATGTCCCCTCCCAGAGCTGGTCGAAGCTTCTGATGTTAAGCTAGGCCCAATCTATGCCTCTTCATTGAGCCAATCCATGCACTCATCAGACAAAGTGCAACTGAAAGTGGAAGCGGGGGCCAGAAGCTCTCTCGTCCTCCATGCCATGGTATACCGAGGTAGCTGTGCGCCTCGGACCGGAAATGCAGCTGGAAACTCTATCCCCTTCGCCGGGCAAATCTGATCATGGTCGAACTGGCGCTGGAACCGGAAGGGAAAGTAGAACACGCAGTGTGTCAGGCCAATCAACTGAATCCCGGCCTGCCGGGACATGCTGTAGCTCATTGCCGGTAAATTGAGCCAAGGGCACTGCCAAGCAATGCGGTCTGTGGACAAATTGCACATCCAGTCAAACCACCATCTCTCATCAAGGGCATTGACTAGGCAACATCAAAAGAAGTAGCCGCGAGCTAAGTATGCTGGGCAAGAGTCCACAACCTGCAATTTGTCCATTAACCACACCTGGGGAGGGATGGAAAATGAGAGAATAAATAATAGAGAGATGTACGATGAAAGAAAAGTGAGAAAAGGGTTTTGAGAGAAAAATCGAGCCTGAGGGCCGAGTGATGTGAGCAATATATATGTGAGGAAGGATGGGAACATTACCTGTAGTAGTAGCGGACTCCCCGCAAATCTGGTTGTTTCCCAGCGATGGAAAGCATCCAAGCCCATCAATGTCTCGGCCAATGTCATGGCAATGTAGCTCTTGCCCTCTTTCAAGCCTTGGGCAACTTCGATCAAATGAATGCTAGACCCGCTGAAGCCTGGGGTAAGCAAAATGTGAGATAGCATGCACAAACAAAGGGCATGACGCCGAAAACCTTGCCAGTGGTGATCACCATGGTCACCGGCATCGGAAAAATGATGAATCAAGCCGAGGATGTCCAATTCCCCGTCATGGATCAAAGACCGAACGTCGTGGAATAGTGAGCCCACACATTCGTCCTAGGGCTTGAGCGTGGCCGAAGTAAAGCTGGGGCAAGATTTCTTCGTCACGTTCGGATTCCATCAAAGCTTGCAAATCTTCGAAGGTAGGACATACCTCTTGCCCGCCAAAGCTAAAGACATGTGTTACCAGATTCCAAAACCTTGCCGCGACATGGAGAAACGAAAAGTGCAGCGAAGTGCGACTCAACGTGAATAGTGCATTTATGCCGAAGCCCCGCAAGTTCAACTTTTCCGAGCCGTCTAAAGTAGCAATCCAAGTTGTGAGATTTTGGATGAGAAACGCCTCCATTTTGATGCAAAACTGAGATGAAATGAAAGAACCACGAAGCTGGAACCTTTATGGAGGATAAGGCACTGTTCGGGAGACACGTGTCAAAAATCTGGAGGTTGCCGGGCCCACTGGTTGGCCGACCATTTTTTCTAGTCGGCCAGCTAGTTTTTCTGGTCGGCCGACCACACAACTAGTCTCCAAGGCAAAAAGTTGGTCGGCCAGCCTTCTTTGGTGGCCGGCCATGGAGGAAAATTGGGTTTTGGCTTTTTCCTAGCCTCTAGAAGAGAGCTCCTAGCCTTTCCATGTGTTGGGAGTGTTGAAGGCCCGTGTTTACCTCTGTTTCGGATGCATTCCGTTGCCCAATTTGTCAGAAATGCGTTTGCTTATCGAATTGTTGTTGAGTTTTGCTTATCGAGTTGTTAAGTTTTGCGTATCGAGTTGTTAGGTTTTGTTTATCGAGTTGTTAAGTTTGCTTATCGAGTTGTCGAGTTTTGTGCATCGAGTTGTTACTCTTTGTTTAATCAACATTGTCGTGTTTTGCTTATCGAGTTGTAAACTTGCTAAGGTTTTGTTGTTTCTTAGTAAGTTAAGTTGTTTAGTTTGTTGTGTTGGTTCACTACCTGACTTGGCAATACACAGTACTCAATTTTCATTCAATCTCATTTTTGTGCAAAATGATGCGATGCGATGCTAAAAATACAAAAGACAATACTTTTTGGATAAAAGTTGTTTCATTCCATCATAGCTTCTTTTTGTTACAACATTTTACAACAAGGGTACAGAGTTTTAAAGAAAATAAAAACTACCTAAAGCTTATGTGCTACAACTACTAGTAATAAAAGAAAACAAAGCAAGAACATCTGCATCAGTGCTATCAAGCGCAAGACTGAGAGGCCCTTTTCGTCCTCTTCGGCTGAGCAACCTCTGCGCCACCATCATCTGAATCGGAGCTGATGTCCTCGGAACCCTCCTCGGCATCATCTCTACTCTCAGAACCGGAGCCAAAGTCCTCCTCTCTGCCCACGGATGTCTCTGACTGAGGATGCGCAGACTCCTCCTCCTCGCTGGACTCCTCATCATCTCTGATAGGCGCTTTACGCCTGCCTTGGCTGCGAGTCGAATCCCCTCTCCCAGCTCCTCGAGAAGGCCTGGATGGCTCAGCCTGTAGCTGTGGCAACTGAAAAAAGAGGGCAATTTGAATACATTAGCCGACATGTATACCAGATACAGAGACAAGAAAGCTACATGGAATGGGTGTATACAGATACGATATATGAATGTGGCGTGTGTCAGATACGCTCTACACATGCAGTTAACCAATGCAGTGAAATGGTCAAATTCAGCATGTCATCAGAAGTATGATAAATGCAAGAAAATTGAAAAGTACCGAAACACCAGCGATGAACAGCTGCGTCTCTCTCCGCAGAAACATGTCCTCGAGTGAGGCCACCAACCTGAGTAACCCCTCAGTATACTCGCTGGGAGTCTGCAGATGCAAATGCAAGTTATCGGTGAATGAATGATTGTCCAAATATCTGAGTGATAAATCAAAACTGTAAAGTATACCGGTGGCGAGTCAGGGTCTCTGACGTATCAATGATCAGGCAATGGAGGCTCCAATGGGATCGGGTAAGTTGTCCCGTATCGCCATCCTGTCAACTCGGTTGGAAGATCTAGCCACCTAGCGTGCGGATAAGTCGGGAAAAACGGGGGAATCTGTCTAGCCCCACTCCTCGATATGCCAACCCTGCTAGTCGAAGGAGCATCTGCAGCCCAGGCTCGAGCGGACGATGATGCACTAGCAGCCCTCCTCGCAGGAGTACGGATACCTGTCAGTGGGGGTATCAGGTACATATGGCGGTAAGTCGCGTACTCCCCCTTCTCCGTGTGAAGAATCGTATCAGTACCCAACATAGCGACGTCGACCTCCTCTGGAGTGTGTCCCTCAGTGGACCGCATGTCCTCTGAAGGTGCTGAGGGGATACTCTGATCAGGGATGCCCATCATCTAACGCATGAAGCGATCCCCCAGAAACCAGGCCCTGCCAACTGGCCCCCAAATAAAGTCCTGTATAGAGAAGAGGCCCACCCCCCAGGGAATCAGAAACGGATATCTCCTCCCAAGGGCACCCAGGGCTGCCAAGTGATCTGCAGTGCATGAGCTGATTAGATATCGTAAATATGCAAGATGAATCAAAGATGAAAACATGAAGAACTGAGAGTTCTGAATTACCTCGGTCGCCCACACCGTATCAAAGAACTGCCGCAGGTAAGGCAGAGTCTCCCGAGCCCTCGGCTGGTACCGGCCCTCAAATACGTGAGAGTAAGGAATCACAAGAGGCACCTCCACCTCGAGCTCCGGGGCTAGCATCGGAAAGTATGTGTAAACCCATAACTGTGGAAAATAGGGCAATAGCCATCAGAATACAGAATGTATAGAGAATACAGAATACTGAATGCATAATATGAATATAGAATGGAGAATACAGAATGCTGAGTGCAGAATGTAAAATACCGAATGTAAGGTGTGCCGTGTGCAGTGTACAACTAATGAAAAACAGGAATGTAAATCAAGAGGGCAGAAAGTACCTCCCAGGCTCTCCAGTAGCCACCAACTATGTTCCCCCGTCCGCGGGAGGTCGCACTCATGTAACAGTAAAGGGTAGCGAGGCCGACGCCACCCCAGTCATACTGGCTGACCTGTGATAGGTCCACTAAAGCACTGAGCAAATATAGTCCAACTGTGTTCCCCCTATCGGAGAACAAAGTGGTCCCATGGAGGAACATCAAAAATCCTCGAGCGTATTGCTCTATCTCCTCGAGAGTCTCGGGCATAGTCCCCCTGTACTGCACGGGAAACTAGGTGTACCTGACTCTACCCGAAGATCTGTCAATCGGCGGGCGGGCTCCCAGCAGATGAATCCAAGCCGCCTCCCACTCGCCCATATCTGCGTCGTAGGGGACTGGTCGACCGGCCACATCAAGGCCAATCAGTATGGCAAAGTCAAACGGGGTCATCGTCATATCCCCGGTAGCCGAAAAGTGGAACGAGTTGGTGGTGTCCCACCATCTCTCCACAAGTGCCCCCATCAAGGTCCTGCTCGCCGGATAACGTGATAGCCCCACGCAGAAGGGTCCAAACCCTGCCTCATCAACCACATGACGAACGGTCTCTGGGAGCTCCACATACCCCTCCCTAGCGATAATCGAGCCATAGCCTCATGCAGAACGAGAAGATACCTGCATTCAGAATTAACAGATGTATTCAGTTTGCAAATGAAATGAAGTAAATGAACTGTGTTTCATTCGTGGTTAGTTTGCTTAACTAGAATATTGAACCGTACAGCTTTAACGCAACATTGAAGCATAATGTGAATTAGCATGTAATTAGCTTAATTATAACTGATCAGAAAGTTCAAGCAAGCTTATTGATTCATTCGTGGTTAGTTTGCTTAACTAGAATATTGAACCGTACAGCTTTAACGCAACATTGAAGCATAATGTGAATTAGCATGTAATTAGCTTAATTATAACTGATCAGAAAGTTCAAGCAAGCTTATTGATTCATTCGTGGTTAGTTTGCTTAACTAGAATATTGAACCGTACAGCTTTAACGCAACATTGAAGCATAATGTGAATTAGCATGTAATTAGCTTAATTATAACTGATCAGAAAGTTCAAGCAAGCTTATTGATTCATTCGTGGTTAGTTTGCTTAACTAGAATATTGAACCGTACAGCTTTAACGCAACATTGAAGCATAATGTGAATTAGCATGTAATTAGCTTAATTATAACTGATCAGAAAGTTCAAGCAAGCTTATTGATTCATTCGTGGTTAGTTTGCTTAACTAGAATATTGAACCGTACAGCTTTAACGCAACATTGAAGCATAATGTGAATTAGCATGTAATTAGCTTAATTATAACTGATCAGAAAGTTCAAGCAAGCTTATTGATTCATTCGTGGTTAGTTTGCTTAACTAGAATATTGAACCGTACAGCTTTAACGCAACATTGAAGCATAATGTGAATTAGCATGTAATTAGCTTAATTATAACTGATCAGAAAGTTCAAGCAAGCTTATTGATTCATTCGTGGTTAGTTTGCTTAACTAGAATATTGAACCGTACAGCTTTAACGCAACATTGAAGCATAATGTGAATTAGCATGTAATTAGCTTAATTATAACTGATCAGAAAGTTCAAGCAAGCTTATTGATTCATTCGTGGTTAGTTTGCTTAACTAGAATATTGAACCGTACAGCTTTAACGCAACATTGAAGCATAATGTGAATTAGCATGTAATTAGCTTAATTATAACTGATCAGAAAGTTCAAGCAAGCTTATTGATTCATTCGTGGTTAGTTTGCTTAACTAGAATATTGAACCGTACAGCTTTAACGCAACATTGAAGCATAATGTGAATTAGCATGTAATTAGCTTAATTATAACTGATCAGAAAGTTCAAGCAAGCTTATTGATTCATTCGTGGTTAGTTTGCTTAACTAGAATATTGAACCGTACAGCTTTAACGCAACATTGAAGCATAATGTGAATTAGCATGTAATTAGCTTAATTATAACTGATCAGAAAGTTCAAGCAAGCTTATTGATTCATTCGTGGTTAGTTTGCTTAACTAGAATATTGAACCGTACAGCTTTAACGCAACATTGAAGCATAATGTGAATTAGCATGTAATTAGCTTAATTATAACTGATCAGAAAGTTCAAGCAAGCTTATTGATTCATTCGTGGTTAGTTTGCTTAACTAGAATATTGAACCGTACAGCTTTAACGCAACATTGAAGCATAATGTGAATTAGCATGTAATTAGCTTAATTATAACTGATCAGAAAGTTCAAGCAAGCTTATTGATTCATTCGTGGTTAGTTTGCTTAACTAGAATATTGAACCGTACAGCTTTAACGCAACATTGAAGCATAATGTGAATTAGCATGTAATTAGCTTAATTATAACTGATCAGAAAGTTCAAGCAAGCTTATTGATTCATTCGTGGTTAGTTTGCTTAACTAGAATATTGAACCGTACAGCTTTAACGCAACATTGAAGCATAATGTGAATTAGCATGTAATTAGCTTAATTATAACTGATCAGAAAGTTCAAGCAAGCTTATTGATTCATTCGTGGTTAGTTTGCTTAACTAGAATATTGAACCGTACAGCTTTAACGCAACATTGAAGCATAATGTGAATTAGCATGTAATTAGCTTAATTATAACTGATCAGAAAGTTCAAGCAAGCTTATTGATTCATTCGTGGTTAGTTTGCTTAACTAGAATATTGAACCGTACAGCTTTAACGCAACATTGAAGCATAATGTGAATTAGCATGTAATTAGCTTAATTATAACTGATCAGAAAGTTCAAGCAAGCTTATTGATTCATTCGTGGTTAGTTTGCTTAACTAGAATATTGAACCGTACAGCTTTAACGCAACATTGAAGCATAATGTGAATTAGCATGTAATTAGCTTAATTATAACTGATCAGAAAGTTCAAGCAAGCTTATTGATTCATTCGTGGTTAGTTTGCTTAACTAGAATATTGAACCGTACAGCTTTAACGCAACATTGAAGCATAATGTGAATTAGCATGTAATTAGCTTAATTATAACTGATCAGAAAGTTCAAGCAAGCTTATTGATTCATTCGTGGTTAGTTTGCTTAACTAGAATATTGAACCGTACAGCTTTAACGCAACATTGAAGCATAATGTGAATTAGCATGTAATTAGCTTAATTATAACTGATCAGAAAGTTCAAGCAAGCTTATTGATTCATTCGTGGTTAGTTTGCTTAACTAGAATATTGAACCGTACAGCTTTAACGCAACATTGAAGCATAATGTGAATTAGCATGTAATTAGCTTAATTATAACTGATCAGAAAGTTCAAGCAAGCTTATTGATTCATTCGTGGTTAGTTTGCTTAACTAGAATATTGAACCGTACAGCTTTAACGCAACATTGAAGCATAATGTGAATTAGCATGTAATTAGCTTAATTATAACTGATCAGAAAGTTCAAGCAAGCTTATTGATTCATTCGTGGTTAGTTTGCTTAACTAGAATATTGAACCGTACAGCTTTAACGCAACATTGAAGCATAATGTGAATTAGCATGTAATTAGCTTAATTATAACTGATCAGAAAGTTCAAGCAAGCTTATTGATTCATTCGTGGTTAGTTTGCTTAACTAGAATATTGAACCGTACAGCTTTAACGCAACATTGAAGCATAATGTGAATTAGCATGTAATTAGCTTAATTATAACTGATCAGAAAGTTCAAGCAAGCTTATTGATTCATTCGTGGTTAGTTTGCTTAACTAGAATATTGAACCGTACAGCTTTAACGCAACATTGAAGCATAATGTGAATTAGCATGTAATTAGCTTAATTATAACTGATCAGAAAGTTCAAGCAAGCTTATTGATTCATTCGTGGTTAGTTTGCTTAACTAGAATATTGAACCGTACAGCTTTAACGCAACATTGAAGCATAATGTGAATTAGCATGTAATTAGCTTAATTATAACTGATCAGAAAGTTCAAGCAAGCTTATTGATTCATTCGTGGTTAGTTTGCTTAACTAGAATATTGAACCGTACAGCTTTAACGCAACATTGAAGCATAATGTGAATTAGCATGTAATTAGCTTAATTATAACTGATCAGAAAGTTCAAGCAAGCTTATTGATTCATTCGTGGTTAGTTTGCTTAACTAGAATATTGAACCGTACAGCTTTAACGCAACATTGAAGCATAATGTGAATTAGCATGTAATTAGCTTAATTATAACTGATCAGAAAGTTCAAGCAAGCTTATTGATTCATTCGTGGTTAGTTTGCTTAACTAGAATATTGAACCGTACAGCTTTAACGCAACATTGAAGCATAATGTGAATTAGCATGTAATTAGCTTAATTATAACTGATCAGAAAGTTCAAGCAAGCTTATTGATTCATTCGTGGTTAGTTTGCTTAACTAGAATATTGA